TTTTTTTTTTTTTTTTCTTTTTGCTCAAGCCGCGTGGCAACTGATAGGTGGGGTGGGTGGGGGAGAGGAGCAGGGAGGAAAACTTGCTCTGCTACCAGTGTGACGGACCCGCCGGGATGGTGGTCCGTCCGGCGGGTCCGTGAGGATCAAGGCGAAGGGATGAGGATGGGGGAGATGGAGATGGAGCTGGAAGGGACAGCGCAGCTCCAACGCAGACTCAACACGCACGTACTCCAATCTGTGCAAATGAAGAATGAGCCACAAAACAGACTGTAGCTGGGGTATACCCCAGCGGACTGACTGGACTGGACTGGACTGGACTGGACTAGACTGGCACCGACGGTGGTACCGGGCAGGACTGGTCTGGATTGAATAACCATACGGCCTGTGGGATCAGGTCACGGCCTGGTCCCACAGGCCGAACAGGGAAAATGGCCAGATAGCCCCTGGCTGTAGGCCAGGGCAGATAGAGGCCCGTTGCATGCAATGAGGTAGCAGTATGACATGACAGGCTCATGCCATTGAAGCACAGTGCACATCCATTGGGCACATGGAGCTAGCAGTATGACATGACAGGCTCATGCCACTCAAGTTTGCAGCGCTGACAACAGGATGAGTGATGGGCACATTGAGCTATATTACAGGCCCAGTACAGTCCGAATGGATTCACATGGCTTCAATCATTTGAGAGGGGAAAGACGAGCTGGATCTTGGGAGCCACAATTTGCACTCAGGATAGAGACATTAGGATGTGCTGGTGTACTGTTGGGATTCTATGATGCAGGACGTGCATGCTTGGATTTTCAATTTGGATTCTGCAATTGCTTTTCTTATTTCTGAAAGTTATGGACGCTAAAAACATGTGAGGGAAAATTCAAAATTCCTTGTCAAACTTTGAACTTATCCCCATGATGAAGATGGCCAACTGCTCCAATATTAGAATTGATTTGTGAGCATGTTAGGGTGTCATGGCATTATGACCATGCTCAGGTTGTTATGTTTCCAGAGCGTAGTGCAATGAACCCAGGCGAGATAACACTCATTGAACATCCAGATACTGTTCGCAGCAACGCACGAGCATCAACGCTCGTGCAACAATAGTCCAGTGGCTCAATGACAAAGCAACTCGAGTAATCCAGTCTTGTTGATGAATAATGTCGAACAGATCTGTTCCACTATCCGAGTATATACATACATGGACGAGAGAGAGAGAGAGGGGGGAAGAAAAGACTTAGAAAAGAAGTTGCCCACTTCTCCTTCGGGCCAATCAGAGTCGCCCCCTCTCCAGCATCGTCAATCCAGATACAGATTTGAGTTCCTAGGTGCCACGTGGCACATCATCATTCTCTTCATCAACGGAGCAGCAATGTCGCCTCACACAGGTACGTGTCATCTCATCCCCACAGTCCCCGACCTCCTTCCGGACGACGATAGCCTGAACAGCGAATGAATACGTGGTACAACCACGTCACCAACACCCTACGTGGCAGCAGCCCCGTCAGCAACGACACGTGGCGCTGCCACGTCAGCACCTTGTAGACAAGAGGAAGCCAACCCCCATGCCAACAAGCAAGCAGCGTGTCGTCGCTGAGAAACGCCAGCTTCCAGCTAGCAATTAGCCAGCCTTCACAAGCCAGCGTCGCGTCAAAGTAGAGTCAGCCTTGACTCACGACAGAATGAATGATGTCAAAGCCAGGAGTCAACTTTAAGTAGCGTTGACTCGGGGTCAATGCCCCGCTGCAGTGGTTCTGTGCCGTCAAGATCTTGATGCGGCGACGACCTGGATCGGTCTGCAACTGTTTCTCCCTTGGTCCGATGTCTTGGACCGGTACCTGCATACAACACGTGTGTATCTGTTCGTGGACTTGGGTACGGTACCTGCGACCCGACAGTTGACTTTGACCTTTGAATTTCCCGAGTCCAGCGCTGGGTCTCACTGGCCAGACGCTGGGCTGGGCCGGGCAGTGCGTGGTCACACAGCCCGGCTTCTGTAGAGCGCGGGTTACTGCATTCCTGCCGACCCAATTTCGAGTTCCATCGCAAAAATAATTAACCTTTCAACCCACACTCATATGTAGAAACAATGTCAGGAGCAGTTTCAAGGAGTTGTTGTTTGCTGAAGCACCGATCCTCGGATGATTTTTGAGTCTTAAATCTTACCTTGAACTGCTTTTGCGGTCGTCCACGCCTTCCGGTGGAGAAGAACCCATGGGCCACAATCCGATCTACTTCATAACTTCCGTTCATCGAAGGTGGAATCATAGAAGGCCTGTTAGGAAACTCATCTCCCTCCACATATGGTAGCAACTTAGAGGCATGGAATACACGGTAGGTTTTGAGATGCGGGGGAATATCAATTCTGTAGGACGGTCCCTCTGCATCTCCAATTACTTTGAGAACTTCCCAGGGCCCAAAGTAGACAGACAACAATTTCTGTGAAACATCTTCTTCCAAGGAGAACTTGTTAGACTTTACCCAAACCATGTCACCTACTTGAAAGTTAGCAGGTCTTCGATGTTTGTTGGCCTGATTAATCATCTGTTCTTGTGCTTTCTTTAGATTCTCCTTAACTTTCTGGATGGCTTCTTGGAACAGAACTGCATATTCACGGGTTCCTGGCGGTAGCCGTAAAAATTGGTCCCTGGTTAATACATCGATGGGATGTCGCGGCTTCCATCCTTTATGTAGTGCGTTAGGAGTGCGTCCGGTTGCAGTGTGGACGCTGCTGTTGTATGCACTAGCTATTTTTGGTAAGTTCTCGTCCCAATCAATCTGATCGGGCCTGACATACATGCGCAAAAGCTGTTGGCACAAGCGGTTCATTTGCTCGCTTTGCCCATTCGTTTCAGGATGGCGTCCTGACGACATGGTCAAACGAGTGCCGTATGCCTCCATCAACTTTTGCCATGGCAAACTTGTGAACCTCACATCCCTGTCAGATACGATAGACAGTGGGAATCCATACTCAGTTACCCATCGCATCTGAAACTTCTGGATCACAAGCTCAATTTTCGCTTCAGCAGGCAAAGGAATAAACATTGCATACTTGAGAAACGATCAACTACAACCATCACTTGACTGTTGCCATTTCGACTCTTGACGAGACTCATGAAGTCTATGGAGATAGACTCACCTGGTTCGCTGGGAATTGGTAGGGGCTTTAGTAGACACATAGGGTTCTCATGTGGTGGTTTGTTTCTCTAACATACTAGATAAGTACACACATATGTTAGTACATCTTCCTTTAGTCCTTTCCAATCGAAGCGTTCTCTTACTTCTGCATAAGTTTTCTTGAAACCAAAATGTCCTGCAAAGTCATGACATTCCCCAATCAACAGACTTTTAATCTTTTTTTTTTGTGAGGAATACACAACCGTTGTTCGGTTTCGTTTATCAAGAAAAGCAATCCATTTGTCATCTTATACTTGGGTAACAGGGCAGGATCCTTAGTGACAAGGTCAATGATGGGTTTCCAGATAGGATCATTAGCATAGCATTGTCGAATCTGTTCCTGCACATCATTTCCTATATCCAAGTAGGAGACAATGGTTCCAAAGAAATCACTTTTTCTAGACAATGCATTTGCCACAACGTTAGACTTACCTTTGATTGTCTTCAACTCAAAGTCAAAGGTGTCGAGGAAAGCAGACCATCGTACTAGTTTGTCAGAGAGTCTTGGTTGAGTCTTTATCCACTTCAGTGTCGAGTGATCTGAGTAGACAGTGAAGTGCCTCCCTAACAAGTAGTGTTTCCAGGATTTCAGTGCACAAACAAGCGCATACAATTCCCTTTCGTAAGTGGAGTCGGCGACCTTCTGAGTAGGAAGTCTGGCAGACATGAACTCAATAGGTCTGTAACCCTTACCATCGTCCTGCTGTAGAACTGTGCCAATTCCATACTCACTTGCGTCAGTGGTCACAATAAAGGGAAGAGATGGGTCAACGATTTTCAGAACAGGGTAGTGAGTCAGTGCATATTTTAACTTCTTCATTGATGACTCACAGTCCTTGTCCCACAACCATATGGTTCCTTTCTTCAGGAGTCTTCTCATGGGAGCAGCAACTAAGGAGAAGTTCCTAACAAACTTCCTATAGTAACTGGCTAACCCAAGGAAATACCTCAACTCAGTGATGGACTTTGGTTGTGGCCAATCTCTAATCGCTGAAATTTTCTTCGCTTTCGGTCTGAGTCCTTCTTCGTTAACTATATGCCCTAAGTAGAGCACTTCAGGTTTTCCAAACTCAGACTTCTTTGGGTTAAGTTTAAAATTACCTTCGCGTAGCTTACCCAAGACGAGACGCAAGTGTTTCTCGTGATCCTCCAGCGTTTTGCTGTAGACTAGGATGTCATCGAGATATACAATTACAAACTGATCCAACCACTGTCGAAACAATTCGTTCATAGACCTTTGGAAGGTCGCAGGGGCATTCGTCAAACCAAAGGGCATGACCACAAACTCGTAGTGTCCATACCTGGTTCGAAAAACAGTCTTGTGTTGATCTTCGGGCGCCACCTCGATTTGGTGGTACCACGACTTCAGATCAATTTTGCTGAAGTACTTGCATCCTTGCAACTGATCCAACAAGTCGTCAATTCGTGGTAGGGGTTCAACGTTTTTCACAGTGACGGAGTTCAACCCTCTATAGTCAATGCATAAATGCTACTCACCTTCCTTTTTGGGCACAAATAAGACAGGCGCTCCATAAGTTGAGGAACTAGGGCGAATCCATCCTTTGTCAGTTAATTCCTGGAGTTGCTTGCGCAATTCCTAAAATTCCCTAAGCGGCATTCGATAGATAGGGCCCTTGGGAGTCTTACTTCCAGGAATGATATCGATAGTGTGCTTGATAGCACGCTCAGTGATCCCAGTAGGTTCCTGAGATAAATCTTTATACTCATCTAAGAGTTTTTGTATCGATGGAGGATAAGGTGTCGAATACTCACCAACTTCCTTTACCAACACCATCATTACCTCCTGATCCAATTGCTTCTTCCTGACCATCGATCGAAAAGCTGGATAGCTCATACAACAGAAAGACAGAGTAGAGTCAGATCCAGACTTGTGATACAGTTTGATGGCCTTGAGTTCAGATTGTGCGTTTTTCAGGCGTACTTCCTTTTCCTTGAACTTGATTTCTTGGTTGGCTTCCTCGTGCCAATCCATTCCCAGAATCATATCAAAAGGCAAGTTTTTCTCAATTAAGAAGGAGATTTCGTGCACAATCTTCTTTCCAGTTTTAGTTCTGAACTTACATTTCACACGATCGACATAATGAGAGACAGTGATCGTGCTTTTATCAGCAAGAATAGACGTGATAGGTCGTGCTAAACATTTTACCTTCATTCCAAGATGAAGCTTGCGAATGGCTCTCTCAGAAATGTAGGATCGTGTAGATCCTGAGTCTAAAAGTGCACCTGTCCGTTCGTGTGCGATCTCTACATCCGCGAGTAATAGTTCACCCTTAGACTTTGCTTTCTTTGCCCATGAGCTTCGTAGTGCTAGCAACTCATTACCAAGCTCATCAATAAAGAGTAAAACACAAATAGCAGTTAGTGCATGAATTTTCATATTAAAAAAAATGAAAGAAGGTTCCCACACAAAGGCACTAGCACAAGCAAAAATGGTTGAAAAGACAGAACATAAGATAGGTTCAGGGTGATCTGGATGATGGGCCGGAGCACAACCATCCTCTGCCACGCGAGTCGAAAAAGTGAAAGGGTTAGTAGACGCCTTACCTTTCTCATCATCTGACTTCTTCAACTCAGTAGGAGCAGATGCTACTCCTACTGGCGGCTCGCTTTTGGGTGTCGGATGAGTGGACACCATGCAATGATGTGTCCCTCCTTTCCACACTTTAAGCACTGCGCATTATCCATCCTATCCTTTCAGGTCTTTTGGTCAATCTCCATCTTTTCCCACGGCTTGAATGCGGCGATGCCTGGGTGCGCAGGAAACGAGCGTGGTCTCCTCCCTCGATACGGACCTCGTGGTCCTCCTTTGTTGACCACGGCAGCAGTGACGTCCCCCTTTCCGGACTCACTGCTGCTGGGAACTCCTTCTAACGGTAGCTTCTCCACTGTGTCGTCGTGAAAGACGACAAGCATGTGGTCCTGACGCTTTTGGCGCCAAAGGACTCGCTTACCGTATCTCGCACCTGTACCTGCACCACCAGATTTCACCACAGATGCATATGACTGTTTAACTTGAGAAGTCATTTGCTCTCTCTGGAGAGCCAAATCACGAAACTGCCGGTACTTGTACTTACCTGACTTTGACTCGGCCACTAACTGACCTCTTATAGGTTCAGGTAAGGCCCGGGCATGAATATACAGGACCTGATCATCCTGCAGATTTAAGCCCGGTACTTGCAGCAATCGATCGACCTCACGGGACAACGCCTCCACAGACGTCCAATGTTTCTGACCTATGGTAGTGAGCTGATCAAAGACCTTATCGGCCGTTGTCTTGTCAAGGAAACGTTCCCGGATCTTGTCCAGGAAGTGTTTCAGGGTCATCGTACCGGCCACTTACCAATATCATCGAATCCGGCTGTGTTAGCTTCGGCCAGGACCCACTCTTTGGCCTCCCCTCCAAGACACGACGTGGAGAAGGCGACCTGTGATTCTTCTTCCACAGGGGTCGTCCCGACGTAGGTCTGTATTTCTGCAATCCACAATAATAAGTTTTCATCCTTCTTATTACTGAACGTGAAAGGCAATTTCATCTTTACCTTTTCCTTCTTCTTTGGCTTCTCAGTTTTCTCTTCTTTATCTTTCTTTCCTCCTGATGGGTGAGGACTGGATGGTGGTGGCGTCGGTGGAGGAGGCCCAGATGGTTCCCCCTTCTTTACTTCGACCCTGAGATCTTTCATAGCATCACCCATTAGTTTCTTCACAGGTTGTTCCTTCCGAACCTCTTTTTCCTTTCCTTTGACCAAGTTAGTCACATTCTTCAATCCTACGGTCAATTCTTCCAACTTTGCTTCAAAATGGTCGAGCCTTGTCTCCAAGTGAGCGAGGTACTCGACCAGTTGGTTCAGTGCCAGAACCTGTTCTTCCCCTGACACAGTTACCACATGCTGTCTGACTTCTTGTTCTCGTTTTGCTTGCTGTTCATCTTGTTTTTTCTTCTTTAGCATTTCCGCCTTCCGCGTTTTCTCTTTTTCAAGAGCTTCTTCCAATTGGCGGATGTTCTCATCAATTGTCTGTTCCGTGACCACCACATCAGTTTTGGCATTTCTGCCATTTGCTATGTCTTCGAACTGCTGACAGATGTGCGCATCCAGTGCTTTACGGCACTGGATAGGAACTCCTGTATGTTCAATAAGTCGGTGCCAGTCTGAGCTGCATCCAGGTCTGCCTGGGCTTTCCGCAAATCAAACTGGGCCCTCACATGTGACTCAGCCTCTGCACCGGTATCGTGCAGTTCGGTGGCCAGAAGGTTGAGCCGTCCAGACAACAGTTGTCGTCTCTGCTCAACCGGAGCCCTGGTACGAGGGTCAGGGAGCTGCTCAACACTCTGGCCCTCAGCTGGGGTCTGAACAGTCTCTTCCTGAGACATTTCAGTGTGGGGTATCTACCGCACAATAAACAAAAATAAACAATAATTAATTCCGCGGCCCCACAGATTCCAAACAGTAGATCACAGCAAGGTAAATGACAGCAAAAATAACTGCAGATTATTTTCAATTATTTTTCTTTTTGTTACGATCCTGGCCAGTTTCGAAGTATACCAAGATCAGAAAGTACAATGCCATCCAATTGCAAATAGAAATGAATGAACTTGAGAGAGGAGAGAGGGTAAGAAGAAGATGAAGAAGTAAGATAGAAGAGGATGATGTACTCCAGCATGTAACARAGACAAGGCTCTTCTTCTCCGCCAACCAATCTCTTCCTCCTTATCTCCTCCTCTCTTATTMAAACAAAAATAACAATAATAATGTTGAATGGCATGAACCAGAATCAATGTCCGAATCCCACTTCTACTTCAGGCTCCATATGAAGTCCACCATAGCCATGGCCACCTTCCTCTTCCTCTACCCATAGGCCTGGCAATGGCGGAGTGTGGAGGTCTCTCCCTCCTTTGCAACGGACAACCCCAACAGCTATGCCGCTGCCCACTGTTCCAAGGTCATCACTTGGCAGCTATGAAGCTGCTCACTCAACCGCCATGCCTAAGTCTGCCTTGAGCTTCCTTGATGCAGCACTACCCCAACGGGGCCTTCCAGATGCAGCGCCTAGCAAGGTGATGAAGATGGTGTCTCCCATAGCCAGATAAGTACCTCGTCACTCTCCTCACTCAGTCCTTCTCCCTCCTCCTCCTACCGGGCGAGCTCCACCATAGCCGAGGTGGAAGCTCCCGGCTTCTCCTTCCTTGCAGTGCTAAAAGCAGCTAGCGCTGCTCCTCCCAACGCTCCAGCAGCGTGACGCCTAACTCGCACACTGAACAATGAGGCTGGGCTCTTCGCCCGGCCTGAAGATATAGCGGCCTGCTTGCCTCTTGGGCGGTGACTTCCAGGCCGCTCGGCCTTCCCAGCAACCGGTACCTCCTCCCATTTGGAGGGAAACATCATTGCAGACTTCTGATATTACCCGTACAGGCTCTAGACTCAGACTGGACGGACTGGTACCGGCCTAGACTTAACCTACCGCTACTGGGCCTCTAAAAATGCCAACTTTGTCTTTTCTGCTCGGCCTCCGGTACCCCTCACATCTACCRCTACGGGGTGCGGTACCGGCCTACCTGCTACTTGAGTGTTTTTCTGCTGCTTCAAGTMCCGCGGGCCCCTGGCTCCGCCACTCGAGTGTTTTCCCCTGCTGCAACCCTTCAATGCCACGGCCACAGGTAAGTACCGGCCCTCTGGGCCTACCAACACGTAAGTACCCTTGCGGGTCTCACACACTCGTACCGACAAGCACTCAGTCAGGCATGCAGGTTACAAGCACGCACACACACACATACCAGTAAACACTCATACAGGCACACAGATTACAAGTGCACACACACACAGACTTAGAAATCCCAGCAGAATGCGGGAATCTCAGCAAGGCATCCATTCCATATGCAGAACTTAGGAAATCAGCAGTATTCTCAGTCTGTATTCTGACGGGTTATTACATTTTTCTTTTTCTTCACTGTTCTTATTTATCTAACTCAATGTGATGACGTGCTTTTGCAGGTACCGATCCGGACACAGTGACCAGATACACACAGGTGAGTATGCCAGCACAGGACAAACAAACGACACAGGGAAAACAAGCCAACATCAACAGCAATCAATATGTCAGCATCAATAATCCCCTGCGTCAGTCCTGATCAAAGCAACAATCMCCCTGTTGCGACAGCTGGCACTACAGCTATTCAATTAGCTGTACCGCCTCTGTCGTCAGAATGATCCTCCCACCCAGGCACACACGTGCCAATCACGTAACACCCCGGTAATGCCAACTCAGCAAGCACACAACACTTGCCACGTCAGCATCAAGTAATCAATCAATCAAGAGGGGGGTGCCACGTCAGCTAATCTGGCCCCCAGATACAACTTCAATCAAGCCGCGTCAACAGGGAAATGACAAGACATCAATATTCGTCAGCAAGATCTTCTCCTTCATCTTCAAAACGTCATCATCCTCTTTTCACCGGCGCGCGCAGTCTTCAAGGGAGGAGAATGCTTCTCTAATCGCGTTTCAGCATTCTCTCTCTCCCACTATTTTTCCCGCCACGTCATCAGCGCGCGTCCGGGTCTTGATCGAGCATGCGCGTCAATCAACTTAAGCGCGGCCCGATGGAACTTCGTTGTCATATGCTCTTCGTCGTCGTGATGATCCTCGTCGTCGTTGTGATCTTCTTCACAATGTTCTTCTTCAGTGTCAAGATCACGTTCGTGATCGTGTCTTCGGTGATCACGTTCGTGATTGTGGTCGTGTTCGTGACGATCATCCACTTGATCACGTTCTTTGTGATCGTGGTCGCGGTCGACGTCGTGATGATCAAGGTCGTGATCACCTTCGTGATCGTGATGATCCTCCTCGTGATCGTGCTTATGCACGATGGTCGTCAAAATCGTCGTCGTATATCGCCACGGCAGCGCGCGCACGCGGTGCACCTTCTCGCGGCGATACGGAAGAACTGCTCTGATACTGTTCGCAGCAACGCACGAGCATCAGCGCTCGTGCAGCAATAGTCCAATGGCTCAATGACAAAGCAACTCGAGTAATCCAGTCTTGTTGATGAATAATGTCGAACAGATCTGTTCCACTATCCGAGTATATACATACATAGACGAGAGAGAGAGAGGGGGGAAGAAAAGACTTAGAAGAGAAGTTGCCCACTTCTCCTTCGGGCCAATCAGAGTCGCCCCCTCTCCAGCAGCGTCAATCCAGATACAGATTTGAGTTCCTCAAGGTGCCACGTGGCAAATCAGCATTCTCTTCATCAACGGAGCAGCAATGTCGCCTCACACAGGTACGTGTCATCTCATCCCCACAGTCCCCGACCTCCTTCCGGACGGCGATAGCCTGAACAGCGAATGAACACGTGGTACAGCCACGTCACCAACACCCTACGTGGCAGCAGCCCCGTCAGCAACGACACGTGGCGCTGCCACGTCAGCACCTTGTAGACAAGAGCAAGCCAGCCCCCATGCCAACAAGCAAGCAGCGTGTCGTCGCTGAGAAACGCCAGCTTCCAGCTAGCAATTAGCCAGCCTTCACAAGCCAGCGTCGCGTCAAAGTAGAGTCAGCCTTGACTCACGACAGAATGAATGATGTCAAAGCCAGGAGTCAACTTTAAGTAGCGTTGACTCGGGGTCAATGCCCCGCTGCAGTGGTTCTGTGCCGTCAAGATCTTGATGCGGCGACGACCTGGATCGGTCTGCAACTGTTTCTCCCTTGGTCCGATGTCTTGGCCCGGTACCTGCATACAACACGTGTGTATCTGTTCGTGGACTTGGGTACGGTACCTGCAACCCGACAGTTGACTTTGACCTTTGAATTTCCCCAGTCCAGCGCTGGGTCTCACTGGCCAGACGCTGGGGCTGGGCCGGGCAGTGCGTGGTCACACAGCCCGGCCTCTGCAGAGTGCGGGTTACTGCAGTAGTGTTCAAAGTGCGAGATAGGAAAACCAAAGTCAACCGTTTGTCCCTTATTGCATGGTCTTCCCTATTGTGTATACGTGGTAGATGTGGCCCTGCCCTGCCATGACAATCTCCCAATTTTGTATGGGTGGTGAGGGAATTCACGTTCTCGGCATTCGACCTTTGCTGTTCATACATGGGATTATGTCCAGCGAAGCAGCAGGCTGACAGGACGAACATTCGGTTTCCGTGAGCGAAGGGCTGCGATCAAGAACAAGAAAAGTTAACCTCTACCCAAAACATTATGAGAAACAAGAACTAAGAAAATCTGCATGAAACAGTGCAGACGTGTGTATAAACCTCTCATCAAGCTCACAGCTCATAGGCAGCATAGCTGCCAGTCCTTGTCACCACCCCCCAGGTAAGCTATGGTCCCCTCACATGCCACGTCTCTCCCCGACACACCTCTCTCCCTCCTCCTCCACTGAGGCACAAAGCCTTGTTCCTCTTCTCCCCTTCTAGCCATGTGGGAAGGGGACTTATGCGCCCTGCCCACATCGGCCATTGCCAAGGGGCAGCACCATAGCTCCAGTCCTTGCACCAGCAAGAGATAATGAGCCAGTCAATGGGGTAGGCTCTAGATACGTACTCTGAATGGCCAGGGTTTGTAATGGACGGATGATGCATAGCCCTGGCTGGCCTGATTGATGCTGGAGGATACAGTGCAAGGCAAGGCTCTGTGGCTGTGCCGAGAAGCAGCTGGAGGCAAAAGTGTGCTGCGCCCCCTTGGATGACTCAGAGATTCTTCCGGGTAAAGTCTTTCGATGACTTCTCTACTAGGTCCAGACCGGATTGTGGACTGCTCAATCTTGAGTAGACAGGGGCTGAGTTTCCTGAGATATGCAGCCCTGATTGTGGAGGGCTCGAGCTTGAGTAGACAGGGGCTGAGTTTCCTGAGATATGCAGACTGCCTTTCCGGTCACCAAGTCGCCTGGGTGTTCCAGGTAACCTAGCAGACTGGTAGATTAGGGGTAAATACCGCTTTGATGATGACTCTGGCCCTTTTGATCCACCTTAATCTGTTCACCATCACTGTGCAAATCAGGTGTCTGGCTTTATGCACCTGACAGGTACATGTGTGCTACACTCAGAGATTCGTCCTGGGAAAGTTTCTTTGACTTGTCTACTAGGTCCAGACCGGAGTGTGGACTGCTCAAGGTTGAGTAGACAGGGGCTGAGTTTCCTGAGATGTGCAGACCTGATTGTGGATGGCCCAAGCTTGAGTAGACAGGGGCTGCGTTTCCTGAGATATGCAGACTGGCTAGGGTACCTTTCCGGGCACCAAGTCGCCCGGGTGTTCCAGGTAACCTAGCAGACTGGTAGATTAGGGGTAAATACCGCTTTCATGATGACTCTGGCCCTTTTGATCCACCTTAATCTGTTCACCATCACTGTGCAAATCAGGTATCTGGCTTTACGCACCTGGCAGGTACATGTGAGCTACACTCAAAGATTCTTCCTGGGAAAGTCTTTCTTTGACTTCTCTACTAGGTCCAGACCTGATTTTGGACTGCTCAAGCTAGAGTAGACAGGGGCTGAGTTTCCTGAGATATGCAGACTGGCGAGGGTACCTTTCGGGGCACCAAGTCGCCGGGTGTTCCAGGTAACCTAGCAGACTGGTACATTAGGGGTAAATACCGCTTTCACGATGACTCTGTGACCCTTTTGATCCACTTGAACCTGTTCGCTATCACTGTGCAAATCAGGTATCTGGCTTTACACACCTGGCAGGTACATGTGAGCTACGCTTGGGATTTCCAAACTCAAGTGGGCTATAGTTCTATGCAGTGGCCGCACTCCTACGGAATTAGCTACAGTCCGATCACCAGACCAATCGTAACCTTTTGTCTCATCTCAGTCTTATGTGATTGGCTACAAGAGATGAGTGCCCACTCACCCACTCTACTCTGGCCTGTGCTCAAGCCAGTGCACAGGGCTGCTGTAATCTTTTGCTTGGTCTACCTCTTGGTTGTCCATCATTCCTCTCCTTTTTTCCAGTGTCCTTCAACCCGCCCTTTTGCCTGCTGTATACCTCTGCTTCTGTAGTGCTTCCTCCTCAGACTGTCCCTTTGAACCCTCCTTATGTGGCTCTTGGCTTTATCGTGTCATCCCCTTCACTCTGCTGTCGAATCTTCTTCCGATTCCAATCGGACAGATTGCAGCTCCCTGCCATACGTCACCTTCGACTACTCCTCTACTAGTCATTGGCATTTTGGTGTTTGTAATGAATGATTTCAGCCTAGCTTCCTCGGGAGGACTCTGACTGCCTGATTGACCGTCTGAATGGGCTTCATCATATATGGCAGGAGGCGAGGCCAGAGCGACGCAGTGTCTATAGTTTCCAATGTGAAATTTACTGCCAACCACTGGGTCAAGAGGTATGGCGAGCGATGAAAAGGCAATCGTGGTTAGTGTAAAGGCATCATCATCTGCTGACAATAGCAATGACAATGACAACAGTAACGGCAACCACCTGAAAGGGATGACTGGGATGGAAGTTGTGAAACTTGACTCTGTGGAAGACTCCGTGAAGTTCAAGCAACAGCTCTTTGCCTCCTCACCCTTCTCAAGGGCTCTCATTTCTGTGTCTGGGAAAAGACGGGTCATAGATGCCGAAGGTCTGCCAGATGGCTGGAAGGAGGTCATTGGATGGAGTTGGAAGGAGGGCAAGATGCGGCTTTATCGCCATTTTATGTCGTAAGTCTCATCCATGAGATGAAATCAATGCATACGTCACACGTCACCGTCACCGTCACCGTCACCATCACCATCACCATCACCATCATCATCACCATCACCATCACCATCACCATCACTGTCACCATCACCGTCACCGTCACCATCACTGTCACCATCACCG